TCGTTGCCCTCTTGGAACTGTGTCTACTCATCTTGGAATCTGAGCAATGTATGTGATGTTGTTTAATTAATACTTCATAGATACTGCATAGAAGAATATTATGTTGCCGGCACAGGCAAATGTTACGTGTCTGGTGCGCTCAATTTTTGTAGATATGTACAAACAAAACTTTAAACGTTTTAAATTTATTTTTGTTACTAGAATAAATTTATCTTCGTTACATCGTAGAATTGTGCGAAAGAGCAGATAAGTCATAAATAATAAAAGAAGAAAGAGAAACTTTTAAAGGTACACCAATCTTAACAAACGGTTATACCCTAGTTTTTACTGACATCTGTTAAGTCGATGTAAGTTTTTATTGACAAAGGACAAACTTTTGATAATAACAGATTGTTAAATTCTACTTTGCTATTTACCCATATTTGTAAATTAATAAAGGTCATGAATCTACACAAAGTATACTGAAGAGATAAACAAATACCAATAATATAATCAAGTCAGGATTTCCCCACTCAAAAAATTACTTATTGTAGCAACATAACGTACAGCTGTGTATACATTATTCCTGAGAAATATAAACGTGATTTGTATGAATTTAAATATTTCCGAGCATAGAGTATGTACTTAATTTCTACGTAAAGGGAGAAATTAGAAAAAAAATAATCAGTTAAAATATTGAAGCTTTTATTTACAAAATTACCAACATATAATATCACTTTGGAAATTTGCAGGTTTACTTACATAACGCCTTTAATATACATACCTGTACACACTAATTCATAAAAACAATACGTCGGTTACAATTCCTCCATCTTTTAACTTATTGTAGGTCCATAGGTACTTTCAGAGGGGTTACCTACGCTACATTGAATGCTAATTGATCGAATATTAAATAATCGATATCGAAGTCGAGAAGTTAATAACCGAATTTTCATTAGATATACAAATATTGACATTTGACATGGCGTAAGTAGCCCCTTTTAGAGTAAGTATAATAATATATTGAAACTTTGATACTAGTACTATGGAATAAGGTACAGTATAAAATTTCAATGATTACTTCATTGAATAATAATAGATTTATTGAACTTATAATTATTAAATTATAATAATTTTGAAGATATACATACCTATATAATATATCATTCGAAAATATTTAAATTTCATTTAAAGCTTCGCGTAAAATATAAAATTTTGACAGTTTATTAATATTGTAATTGAGTAACAAATATTAACACCACATCTGAAGATAAATGCAAAATTATTCAATGTTATTATATTAAAGAATTTAAATCACAGAATAAATAATTTTTATATCTTGTCGACCTAATATTAAACAATCATAAAAGTTTAATCGATAATTTTAATTAATTTAGAACAAGGATTAATAAAAACAACAGCTAATTAATAAACACTTTAAATGTTACAAAATCTAATAATCGTAGTAGTGAGTTTTGAAAACTAGATCCCGCGACTTCGCTGGCATAAATTATAATTTGTTACTAGCGTATGAAATAGATTTTCTTAGTTGAAAGAATTTTAAAATCGATCATGTAGTTTCGAAACTTATTCGATTCAAACAAACAAACAATCAAATCTTTCGTCTTTATAATATTAATAAATATAGATAATAAAAACTTTCTTTGTCAATCTCATGCTACGGAACATAGAATTTTGTATTTAATTTAATTATAAAACTAAGTTTCCATTTAATAAGTCCTAAAAGGGGTTGTTTACATTTAATTATCCTTTCAATTTGGTTTGAAACAAGATTCGAAACAAACAAGAGAGTACGTTAATGAGAAGACTAAATTAAAGATTGTTCCTAGGGCAGCGAAAAAACGGACAATGACCCTAAGTATTAAGCTGAATTTACATTACGAAAGTATTATAGAATAAAGTTGCATAAAACTAGTTTCTTTGCATTCAATTTCGCTAGTAGTTGCATGTGCAAATGTTCACTTTCGTCATGCATGCAATAGTTTCATGACACTAAAGTTCTTTCGTGCTTTGCGCATATTTTTGATGCAACTACCTTCACGAAACTAATTTCACCTGGTTTTACATGGTAATGGTAGTGTAGCAATACCTTCTGCGCATGTTAAATCGCAGCGTTGTCAGCGCAGACGGCTTCGATTGCTCTCTCTCCTCTTTTTCATTTTCTCTAACCCTAAATCTCCAAATTACTTAAAAAGTAATTTCAACCCTTCAAGTCATACGACTGTGACTGACGATCTCCTAAATAAATAATCTTTAAACGGAAAGCCCACACTCTTCTCCCGGAGCGTTTTTTGAAGATTTTCATCAAATGTGTATTATGTTGTATGTTTATGTATGTATAATATGAAATTGTATATAAATAAATTATACTGTAGTATTGTTTAAGTAGTATATTTTTTAGTTGATGTTATGCCGCCATCATGTTTTTCTATTTCTCAAAGCTTGACTGGTAGAGAATGCTATTAGCATATAGTCCGCTAATAAGTCAGTCAGTAAATAAATTTAAAAAATCTTCGATATTAGTGGATTCAGTATCTCATAGATACTGTGATTGCATGCCACTACAAAAGTAGTTCCACATGTGCCGAACATATTTTCGTAAAACTAGTTTTAGTTACTTTCGTAATGTGAATTTGCTGTATGCCAGCGCTGAAAGTAAAGGATATATATCCCTAATCATAGAACGCTGTATCGTTTTCAGGTTCAGTGACCTTATAGCGTCCAATATATCAAAACTCAGTGCTTCGAGAAAACGATTGCCCATTTTATTGACTGCCCTAGGAATATAGAATAATTCAATTCATTTGGCCTTGAACTATGCCTACAAAGCGTATTTTACATTTATTGTCACAGGTGTGAGAAAAAAACGTCAAATGAAATTACAAAAAATTACAAACGCTTAAAATTAAAATATATACATTAGTAATGATATTTATTTACATTAATTTATGGCAATAATTATACATCATACCAATTACCGTAATGGATATTTTAACATTGTGAGAGTAACTTTTTAAACACGAAATAGATATGTTTCATATTTTACAAAAAAATTACGGATTTACAATACATATTTAATATATTTTTTATTATGATCATTCATGTCTTATGAAGGTCAGCTCAGATGCAAAATAATAAATTACATTTTAATAATTCAAATATTAAGCTAATTATTTTAAACTGTATTTTTAATACATTAAAACCCCGAAATCAGACATTTTTTTACAGTTTTGGTTGACTACGAAGAACGACTACAGAAAGCCGTGTTGGCATATTTACCTAATTCGTTCAGAATTGTTTACCTATAAGATCACTTAACCATTGTCACGACAATGCGTATCTCTTACAATTTCCTATCAATAACGGTATTTGTGTTGGATAAAGACGATATATATATAACGTTAAGGGAAAACGCTCAAGTTTCGCTTGAGCGATTCCATCATATTCTGAGCTGACCATTATATAACGTATTACTAATATATATAGTTTTTTATTTCCTGAGTCGCTGCTTATGAAACAATTCCTTAGTAATGGGGTTATATTAATTATATTCTTTATTAAAAATAAATGTTGAAACACCAAGTTATTTGAGGAATAACCATATCTTTTGGAGTTTTCTTATTTAGTAAACTAAGCACAAATTAAGTACAGACAAAGAGCTAACCCATATTTTAAGCTAAACTCACAGAGCTGACTTCATTGTCCATTATATAAGTGTTTGGTTTTAATTGTTTGTAGTCAGCTCACATAACGATGCTTACGCATAATAAATAAATATGTCATTTCCAAATTGTCGTAAGTATAAATGCTGCGAGAAGCGAAACTGTCATTGTTTTGAACCACGAAGGTAAATACAAGAATATCAGTCTTTTCACTGTGGTCGAGTCGTTTCTGAGTTAAGAATAAATGAAAACAAATTTGCTCAGCGCTTCGTTAAAGACAAGTTGGCAACACACTTTCAAAGGAGATGAAGTCTTTATTTGTAAAATTTGCGTTAATATTTCTCGTTCAAAAGAAGGAACACATCTTTTTACGTGAGTTAGAACTGATATTGAATAGTTTAAAACTGTGATAGTTGAAAAATGGATTAGCTGCTTTACAGTAATCTCTCATTAAGTCGAATTTGAATTAACTCCGCAATAACAATAAAAATATTTGAACAGCTGTTGATTTGTTATATAATATATACATTTCTATAAGTTAAATACATATAAACACTAGCCTTTCGCTTCGATTTTGAAAGTTATCGTTAAATGACTCGTTACTTGTAAGAAACATCATACATGGAAGACGAAAATAAAAGCAACAAGTGAAACAATTTATACCCAAAATTTTATAAATTATGGGATATTACTTTATACATCATGCTCTTAAAGATAAGTATAAAATTTCTTAATTTTAATGTTATATTTACAATAATTGTAATATTTTATGTGACGTTGTCAGTACATGTACTTTGATTTAGAACCGCGGTAAGTTTTTTTTTGTCAAATCTTAATTAGGTAATACGTTTTGTACTTAGAAAAATGCCTTTAAAAGTAGAAATATTTTTTGCCATTGAATTTGAAAATACATTAAATGTAACATATTTTTCAATGGCAACCAAAATTACAAAAGTTTACTTTTCAAACCTAATGGTATGTATATAAATATGTACTTAAAATCATTATAAATAATGATAATAAAAAGATTAGTAATAATAAATAACGTATTTTTAATTAAAATGTTGTTAGTATGAAACACAGTTAGTAGGTACTAATATTATGATTCAATAATTAAAACCTTCAATGAACATTTAAAACTCCTTTTCTCCTCCTCCTTTTTTAATTACAGATTTGACGTACAGTGAATTGACATATGGGATGATTAACACTATGAGCATTTACGTCCGAATAGCAAACTTAGTATCACGGTGTCAATCGCCCAAGATTTGCCGACGGGTTTAAGATAAACCTTTAACAACCGTTCATTTCAACAGTAATTGTCATACAAAACTTATCTTATTTCCTTCGTTGCTTGCTCATTAGTGCCCTGACCCTCTTCAGGTTGGTGACCGTGACGTCATCGTTCGGTTGCAGCTGTAGAGCACGCCGATATGATGACGCCGCCGCGGCATATTTTCCGTTGAGGTGCAATATTGCACCTAAATTTGAATGATATTCGGCATCCTGTAAATAAAAACAACTGTCAAGACGTGTTGTTTTTTAAACGAATTTAAAAAAAGGAGAAGGTTCTCAATTCGATTTTATATTTTTTTTTGAGTGTATTTGATTATCATTTAATAAACTACAGAAAACGTCAGACCGACTTAAATGGTTTTGAAATTTCTTTATTTGAAGTTGGTCCTATTTTTTGCTAAATGTTTTTATGTTTACATAAATAATCTAGCCTTCATAACTGCATGGTACTTGCATAAAAAGTAGCGTAATATCTATTGGAATTGTAAAAGAATAAAATTAAATACAATTAGTAAGAGATTTGTGGCGAGAGAGTTCTCGTTACCAACTATTTATATGCTATAAGTATCTAATCACACACGTGGCTGTAAAGGTCTTAACCACAATTTACGTTATAAAAACGACATTTCAACGGGTTATATTGGCTACCGCTCGAACTGTACGATAACATAAATAATAAGCCTTTACAATCATGTTTATAAGAATATCTTAGAATATTCATTGAATTGGATTTTTGCTAAATATCCATAAAATGGAATTATGACAGTTGTTGCAGAAATATTTGATAGTTATTTGCATCTTAATGTATTTAAAAAAAGATCTGACCACGTAGATCCTTTTTTTAAAACTAAATATCAACCATATTAAATAGATAATAATGAAAATATTCTTGAGTAATAGATCAGAAAATAAGAAAAGTAAGTTTCACTTGTTCTTTTTGTCAGCAAAAAAAATAAATAATGAGTCAAAGGGCTTATAATACGCTTATTCAAATAAAGTATTTATCATTTTCACTTCTCAAAACCAGTTTTAATTAAACACAGAAAACATTATTACTCTACTGCAGATATGCTTTTAAAATTTTTTTGTTAGCTCGTGCACCGCTAGTTTTTGTTTTCCCTACATTTCCCTAATCAAATGCGAGCTTTAATTCAGGTTGCTATCACGAAAGTGTTTTCAACGCGTTACGGCGCCTTTGCTTTGGGATTCCACACACGTGTATTTTTGCATACCTCCACTGGAGGTTAAGCATCGTGTTTATCTCTTATTGTTGCTGCTGGTTCTTTTATCTTTATTTTACGTACATTTTCAGGATTAAAAGAGTTAAAATAACGCAGTGGTTTGCGAGTTTGGTCTGAGTTTGATGATGTATGAATGCCACAATTCTGTATTTCAATTCCCAACATTTTATGTAATAATCGCATCTCGATAGAGTTTAAACTACTTGCAATTTTTCATTGTACTATCTACCTATAAGTCTAATATTATTTTTGCAGTTTTATCCTCACATATATTTTTATTTTGCGATCTAGCAACAAGAATTGTGTTGTGAAAAGTTGTAGTTGAAGCGCTAAACACTTTCCGAAATTATACGCTAACATTAGCAGAATTGTCCTAAGCACACCTTTCATTGGAGGGTTGATAGAAAAATTATGGCGATCTTGAGCTCCTTCGTGCTATTTTTAAAAGTAGCTGTATTTAGTGTGGATAACACTCACAGAAGATGCAGCTATGACCCGTTTTATTTGTTTTCATTATCAGAAGGCCTGCGCCTTAGCATAGGAGATATTAGTAGAATCATGTCGATAATATCCTCGTACTTACTTATATTGGTCCCGGGTAACCTTACTGTGCCAACATGCTGCGATATGACACGTTATTGGATGATTATTTCTATAGGGAAGGTGGGTAACGCATAGTAGTGTAACGGGTTCGGGAAAGCTTAGATGTTGGTGGCCAAATGAAAGCGCTGACTAGGCTTTGGGCAAAGGTATTTGTTATTTTAACACAAGATTTCCGAATAAATTACGTTGGTCATCCATTAAACAGACTATAGTTAAAGAAATTCAATAAAGATATTTTAATAATATGGCAATGACCGAGATAAAATTGTTGCCTTAAAATTTACTTAAATCAAGTTTATTCAAGTTGTTGCACGCTGTTTAATCCTATTAATATTATCTTTGTTTGGATGTTTGCCCGTCAATCACGCCGAAACTACTGAACGGATTTTGATGAAATTTGGTATAAAGATAGGGTATTAGCTAACTTAGATAATAGGATATTTTTATCCCACTGGTCCACGCGGGCGAAGCCGCTGGCGAAAGCTAGTAGTATAATATATAAGCCAATTTTATATTCCATGACATCTTTTGTAATACATATTTCATGCAAGAAATAAATTATTGTTATGCATACTACAAAATTTAAATTACTACAATCCATTTTGACTTTTAGCGACATCACACAATATTTAAAATTGATTGTTAAAATTTAACTTTTTTTTTAAACCTATTTTGTTGTTGTTGTACCATTTAATATCGTAATATATCTATTTATATCCTTAACACAGCGGTACTGTTAAATACCTGCTAGAATTGAAAACAAATTAACAGTTACCAAGTTCTGATTTAATTAATTATTCATTCAGATGTCTTTGTGTGCGCCTTAATAATAAATATTCAACAACTGAACCTAAACAAATACTTATATCCCCAAAAAGTATGATTTAAAAAAAAGTTTTATTATAACGTGACTATTTAGATTTGTGGCAGGTAGTTTGTAGTGGTGCTATGGCGATGGTACAGTCAATAACGTTCATCTCGCTAATAGGTTCTTATCATTTTTTTTTAATTATGTATCGAATTTACTTTAAGAAAACAAATGACCTTTAATGCGAACTGTATACTGTGTTTTATATTTTTTATAGATCTACTAGTTTTCCGCCTGCGATTCCACCCGCATGAGTTTAAAAACCTTCCACTTGTGTTAATTTGTATATTGATGAAAACCGCATTATCCGTTGTGTTATAGATTTCAGCATACAGACAGCAGAAATCGACTTTGTTTTATATTATGCATTGATATTAATATATAGATTAGCTCGACGGCGTAGTGGATAGACGCCGTGGCACGCGAAAATTGTTGTTAAGCAACTTTCGCAAGGGTCGGTCACGGGATGGGTGACCAAAAAAATACTACCTCCAGCTTCTTCGTGCTTCGGAAGACACGTTAAGCCGTTGATCCCGGCTGCATTTGCAATCGTTAATACCCGCCAATCCGCATTGTTATCGCCCATGCTCTTTAACCATCCATAAGGGAGGCATGAGCCCCTGCAGTGGGGACAAAATAAAGGGCTGATGAAGATAGACACCAATATTGTAAAGCTGAAGAGTTTGTTTGTTTGGTTGAACGCGCCAATCTAAGGAACTTGTGGTTTGAATTGAAACATTATTTTTATGTTGGATAGAATACATTTCTTGAGGAAGGCCATAGACTATGTATCATCACGCTATGACTAATAAAAAATAATGTTGCAAAAACGGGAAAACTACGCGAATGAAGCCGCTAGCGGAAAGCTGGTAAATTTAGTTAGTTTTTGTAGCACCTAATCTATGCATATATTATAAAGAGGAGAGATTTGATTGCTTTTTAGTATGTTTCTTTCTTTGCATCAAATCTCTGAAACTACTGGCCCAATTAAAAAAAAACACCTATGGGTAGCCCCATTGTAAGGGGATGACGGCTATAATTAACGTGTGCGAAGTCATGAGCAAACAGCTAGTCATCATATAAATTCATAGCACCAACAGAGTTTAAACAAAAGAAGGTTTATACTAAATTAAGATCTTATATAATGATCCAAAGCAGAACCGATACATTCTATCTTAGTATAGTAAATCGATGGAGTTTGATTAAACAATGTAATTTTGTAGTGCCGCACCACCAATTAATTTGTACTCCCTAATCTATTTCGTAAACGTCTTGAGGTTGTCCGTTCGTCGCGATGGCAACATTGATAAACGCACGGAAATAATATAGATAATTATTTATATAATAATCTGTATATTCATTCATGCAGCCGATAATTTATATTATTTAAAATAAAAACGGCTAGTTAGTTATATCTTTAGTTATATCTGTTACTTTTACGATTTTATGACTTATTATATTATGACAATCACAAACTTAAAATAATAATAATAATACTTTATTTTTTTTCTTGAAAAGGTACATTTCATTTCTTAAAACTGGTGTCTGCAATAGGCTTTCACCTGTCGTACAGATCGCCAGGTTCCCATTCCACGCGTCCTTATTTTACATTGATATTAACAATATGAAAATCGGATATTTACTACTTTTTAATTTATAGTCCAAATAAATAAATAATAATTTTCCTGTATTTACCTTTAGGAAACATTCAAGGAAAAAATTTTTGAACGAATTAAAATAGTAGTTAAATTTCCTAAGTGTCATGTATGAAACCACGTTTTCTTGATCGTTAATTCGAACTAGTAGCTACTAATTACCTACAACACTTGTTTTTACGTTCGCGATTTCATTCCCATGGATTCCATTATAGCAAAAATATATCCTTTGTTATTTATCGGGCTTCCTACTATACTTTGAATCAATTTTAATTAGCCAAGTAATTCAGCTTATAAAAGGTAACAGGTAGACTGACTTTTGTTTTACAATTAAATAGCATTTGCCACAAATTCGCCTGTGTCTTAGCTACTGTCATTATAGAACTTCCATATAAATTTTCTTATCTCATTTCAAACCTCTTTATGGCGATAATTAATATAAGTACTTTCATACGGCCAACTCTATCTTTATACTAAATTTCATTAAAATCTATTAGAATAGAAAAACATACTATTTAGTTGCTTTAAAATAGCGTACATTTCGGTTGCAGGATAATTGCAGTTGAAGTTAGTGGTTTATGTCAAATTTGACAGATGCCATGTTGACTTTAACATTGACTGTGGAATGTGTTGCACCATCCTCTTTCTTGACATAGTAAAACAATAACTTTAACCAGCGAAAGTTAGATTATAGTTTACAGTTTCAATTATGACGTCATTCAACCATTGTCAAATGATAAGTCATTATTGTTTGCTTAGCCGGTAGCTTTAACATGTTTTTTATTATTATATTAGAACAATTTTGCATTCACATTACTGAAACTATACTGAACTAAACTGTAAAATATTTTTCAGTATCAAATAAATAATAATAAGGAAAAAAATCATCTTTATCGAAAGTTTAAATATTTGTAAAAATATTTCTTTGGACTTTTTAGGTGGATTGCCTGAACATTGATGAAAAAACGCTCTGTCGTAATGAAAAAGTAACAAGTGCTTGAAAAATTCGTTAGTCCTGTTAGGTCTAGGGTAGCTCTGTAGTCACAGCAATCGCCCGGATTGCGATGCCAGGGACAAAGTGGATTTGTAAAGCATTTTTCATTTAGATATTTTTATGCATTTTTCATTGAGAAAATATATTTGTTGTTGTTAAAGTAAGTTGGTACAACTAATCCTTAGATTAGATTTTAACCTCGATTTTGGCGATGAAAGGGAACTTACGTAAGGTCAACATTATCTTAACTTTAATTGAAATTGGACCAGTGATTTGAGGTGAAACAGTTTTAATTTTTTAAATCAGTATTTTTCTTTAAAAAAGAATCATTGGATTAATCTAATTTATGATCTATTGACCTTCATATTTCAACATCCAAGTTCTTATCCTTTTCATCTGCTAATAAAAATATAAAAATATTAAGCTATATAGCATAGACTGATTAATTTATTTATGTTTCAGTGTTACTAAAATAAGAAGTCTATTCTTAGCGAAAGGTTATTTTACTCCTGCTTGTAACAAAAATCCATTACGCAATTTGTACAAGGGGAGAAAATATTACATGTTACATACGAAGGTTCTTTCTTAAGGTACTTCTTTTTATAATATAATATAATCTTCTAAATTGTAAAATTTTTGGACAAGACAATTGCCCCAAAAGTAGCCTTTCGAATGTTCACAGCTTAAATAGCATGTAAGTATATAAATTCAATGTTACTGTAATTTTTAGTTAATTATTTGATATCAGGGTACGATTCCCAACCGCGTCAATATAAACTTTTTAATATCTCGAGTTCTGTGGATTAATTACATAACATATTAAACTTAATTAAAAATTTTGATTGCATGTGCTATACCATCAAAATACAATATCAGCAATATTAATATCACAAATAGCCGACGTAAACGTTTAATAATTTAAAAAATATTTTTGCCACAAAATAGCTTACGTCATGTTCCACGTTAACGGAACGAGACCTCCCTATTTTTTATAGTCTGAAGGAAGTCCAGCCTTATGTGAGGATTTTACACGATGGCGATCTTTTCCAAGCGAAAGTATTTTTGTTATTTTGATACGGCGGTCACGTTCGGCCCTTAGCGCTCCCGTGCGAAAATAGACGTTTGGTCGTGCGATCACCGAGTCGCATCACTGGCGTCGGTAATGTTGATAGAGGATAGCAATTTATGGGCCAATGTTTACTTTACATATTAGTCAAACAGAGCAAAAATGATACAGCTTTGATATATATGAAAATCGGGGTCCTTAAAAAGTTTTAATTATTCAAGTTATTTGATAATAGCTTTTGGTTTCGCGCGCGTTCTTTTTCCGTTATCTCAAATTTTTTATTGCTGCTCCACATCTATTAGTAATAGCTTGATGTTATATAGTCTATGACCTTCCTCAAGAAATGTACTATTCAACACAGAAATATTTCCAATTCGAATCAGTAGCTCCTGATATTAGAGCGTTCATGCAAACAAAGAAACAACCTCTTTAGCTTTTTAATATTATTAAAGTATAGATAAGTCACATATTTATTGCTTCAATAGAATCCGATATCCAACCGAGTCAATATAGAGATGGAAACTTTTTATGTCTCGGGTCCTGTGAATAAATCGCATAACCAATTAATTTTCATATAGCATTGACTAAAAATTATTATTGACTAAGATTTAAATCGTAAAAAAAAATTAAAGTTGGTATTGCCACACAAGATTTTCAGGAATTGATTTTACTTGACGTAATGAAATCAGTATTGACTGTTGTGACGCGATCAATTAAATAAACACTGGTGGTGGTACCATAGTTGCTTATAATCTCATAATGTTGTGATTAGTAATACAATTAAAAAATATCGACAAAATTGGTGTCAAAGTCAAAGTCTAAAACACAAAGTCTAAAAATGTATCACAATCTTAAATAAAAACGTATAACATTGTAATGTATTCTAGTTAATTTATTAGGTTAATACTCAGGTTCATAAGTGAGCCTTCTTTGACTGCGCCATCTTAGTGTAGAAGCCTACTTTAGTATTAATACAGAAGACTGTAGTAAGGGCGTAATTATCAGCTTTAATTCCTAATTTTATTATAAATGTAAAAGTAGATATGTCCTTCTGACTATTGCGCTTTCACGTTTAAACCACTGAGCTGATTTTAAAGAAATTCGATATAGAAACAGAGTCGACCTTGGAAAATTTTGCCATTGTTCGCAAAAATGGGTTGAAATAACAATGAAATATTGTATTGAAGTTCGTTTTTGAAAGTGACTATATAATGCGGACGAAATCACGGTGGAAAAAGTGAGTTAATATAATTATTATCTATGTAGATAATGATATTATATTGAACGCTGTTGTATATTAAATGTAGTATACGGAAGTTGTTTTTAATTAAGTTCAGTTTAAGCAGAAGTAAACCAACATAAAATGTTAATTCAATTTGTTATAATAACTGCATTAAATGCAATAAAAGCTGAATAACGAAGTTTGTAAGTTGCGACCTGCTCAATTACTTTATACTGCCCTCTTGTGAGAACCGTTGGCATGACGATAAAGGGTAATTGGGCGATTATTGCTATCGTAATATAATTATTTTTTACTGCAAAGCACATAAGTACAGACGTAACTATGGTAACATTATTTTATCGCGTCAATAGAGTTTCAATAACTTCTATTCTTGATATTAGAAGACTATTAACAAAAATGTCTGTGTTGATTTATTTGATTTCATAAGACGCCATTTTCATTATAATCTTGGACTTTGTAGCTAATACAGTTACAAAATGTTGTGAAACTGAAACAACATCGAGATGGCATTATTAACAGTGCAATAGAGACCTATTTTAAAACATAGTACTACCTGTAATGCATTTATCGACAGTCTTACAATTGCTATGTCTGTACTAATAGCGATAAGCTTGTAATAATAAATAAATAAATAAATAATACAACTCAAATTTATTCCTTTCTCATACGTACTCGATGCAAAAACGCAGTATACAGTTATTTTGTTTAAAAAAAATAACGTTTATATCTATTTATATCTTTAAAAAAAAAGTAACTCCTGAATACTCCTAAAAAGTTGTTTAGTTCAGTTTTAGTCATATAAAATTGACAATAACTTTCAATCCATAGCCCTTTGAATCAACTTAGACGCGTAACACGTTGTGTTGCTTTAAAACAAATCTTGACGTAGACTTTATTACCTCTGGTTTCAGTTGTACAGCTTTCGCGTACCAGCGCTCAGCGGATCGACAGCGCCGCGCATCTCGCAACGCTCGCGCTGCGGACGCTGCTCTTGTGCCGTCAGTTGGCGCTAGTTGCGCTGCAACCACTAATTGTTCTGCTGATTCGCGTAGTCGATGCTGCGATCTTAGAAACATACCTGTTTAAGAAAAGTGAGAGACAATTATGAAGAAAAAATCTTCGCTTTCAACCAATTTAAAGAGTTATTGGAATAATTTTAAAAGTTATATTTAAGGATTTTACGCAAAAATTCCCAATAGAATAGCCGAAAACGATTCATGCGACTGTCTGAACAGTATAAAAACAGATTGGTTTATAAAAAAAAGCGATTTATAACGTTCTATTTATTTAATTTTAGACATTATTTCTCCGGCAGTAATAGGTTTAATAATTGTATTATATTCTCAAAAATAGTGCTAATCGAACATGGACTATAATAAGTCTAGATCTAGTTACTTTAAATATATTCTTCTTTAATGTTACTGTAAATGTATAATTAAGTTTACCATTCTCAATTTTAATTAAGTTCAACTTTGAAGTTTATAGTAATGCAAATTATAAGAATATTTTAACTTAAAAATTTAAATAAGAAAAAACTTCGCCTTATATTATTACGAAGCCTTACGAAAGGTTCTATATCTACATTATTAGGTAATTTCACGATGTTTCATATCTATGAATGGTTAATACATTACGTTATACAGTTATGTTATACGTATACCATTATGTTATAATAACATAGGTAAATTCTAACAAAAAATATTTATGAATAGAAAATGACTGTTTTAAAAACAAAATTACTATATTCTGAAATGTGAAGCAGAAACTAATGACGTTGCGAATTACACACTCAAATAAAACAATTTAGCTGGAACTTTCGTATAATAAAGCAATTATTTCTCTGTTACAGCTGGAATTGTTTTGCGATTTTTTTCTTCTATTATAAAGTCATACCTATAGAGTGTAGTAAAATATAAACTACTTTAATACGGGCGGTCTTTTAGATTAATAATTCATCAATTTTAACAAAATTAGGTGGACTTCATAATATATGTACAAATACTATGAAATAAACTAATATTAAACCTATGTTTGATTTGTAAATAATAAACACATTGAAGAAACACGAAATCCATTGCTTTTGTAGTAAACCTTTTCGATTTACCGATGCAAGTTTAATCATAAAAATTGAATTTTCCCATACTGAAGAGTCTAGAAGTATGCGATAGCAAATTTATAAAACATATCGCATACGAAATGTTATGGTAATTATAGGATGGAAATTTATTATAATGTAAGCTCTCATCCTGTATCTGTAGAGCTTAGGCATTGAGAGAATAGTTAACTTAAACAAGGTGATAAATTAGAATCAGACCTTACCTTTCCTATATTGTATCAAATTAGTAACATCTCATATTTAGCCATTATTTCGGAAAGTAAAATAAAGTGGAACAGATATTTATATGTGAACTAAAAAAATATTAATAAATCTTTATTTCAGAAGAATTAAGAATGAATTGAATTCTTATTTTATTTCGCTTTAAAGAGTTTATATAACAACTCTAACTACTCTATGAGATTTTTTTTATAACAATTTATTGCTAACAGTAAATAATAAAAAAAAAAACAAACGAATCGCGTCACGAATGCAAGACTTGCCCTATTCCATTTTCAAATGCTAAATGTCAATTCCATGTCATGCGGATTCAGTTAGCGTCGCTTCGCGTGTGAATTTGCTCCGCGTACGGTCAGCACTCTGCATTCATGTCACACGTACTAATATCACGGGTGGTAATAAAGGGATGTGATGCTTACAAAAGATTTCTATATGTAATTTCGGCGAGTATGCGGCGCGGATCTTGTTATGCGAGTCTACACGAATGACGCAATTTGTGTTTCGAACATGATATTTATTAATAACTGACGATTCATCCTGTAATAAGCAATCAGTCATTTTTTAAGTTTATTTTAAATATCTAATATAACTAATACGAGAAACTGTTCTTGAAAACGTTTGAACTGATTTCAACTAACCTGCTAAAGGTTTAAACTATCAATTATGATAGGTAATTAGATAATCGTGATCTTGGCATACAATTAAGTGAATACAAAATTGACAGCGGAAATATGATACTTTATGTACCTTATTTGATAGTAACGGAACGTGGTTCTATTTAATTGGTCAGCCAACGAATACAAATGATTCTATTTTGGCGTACTCATCGATTATCATCCACACTCTCCTAATTGATCCATCAACATTTATTATTTTGATAACAGTTATTATAAGTACGGTATAATTGTGGTCTTAAATACGGCATCTATGAGATATTAAATGGCTATTGTCGCCAATTTATTTTAAAATCAAGAAAATATAATGATTTCAATCTTAAAACTCAATAATGAAATCAACCATGTATTGACTTTGCGTAGACTATGCATTCTGAATCAAAGCACCAAAGTAATGTTTGCAAACGCCCTTGCAATTGCATAGGCATCAATATATCAGTGGTACGGCTTACGCGATTCTAGCCATCTCGATTGCATGTCGTCATTTATAAGGGTTGGAGCCGACCATAGCATGCAGCTGTGTTTCTGACTGCTACAGTAAGCTTCTGGGAATTGATTAGGAGTCATTGAATACGAGAAATTCCTATGGCGTGTGCCTGCAACGTTATTTTAATTAATTAACACTGAATCAAATGTCACGATTAAAACAAGTAAAAAATTTAAAAGCTTTTTTTAAACGAGCTTTTATTTACTGTATTGTATTCTAAAAGCTAAGCCCTTTTATTTGAAATCCATATTGGGTGTGTTATTCTGAAATATGTACGATGCCATTTTGTTACGGCGGTCATTTTGGATTAATAATAATGTCCATTATATTAATTGCATTGTTATTTTTCAATTTCAGCTAAAAAGGTAACTGGAGAGTGAGTGAATTTTAGTTTGTAAGATTTAAATGCATAAAGACAAACATCGGAAAAGGTAAACTAAATAAAAGCATCTATGAGGTCCAATTTTGTGTTATTATAAGTGTCTATCGATTAGATATGGTCTGAAACACGATTTCTGTGACAGAGTTGTTTGCATGTAGGTAGAATCTAGAAGATCGCGAGTTCGATCCTGGTCATAGTGAATAAGGAATGCCTCCCTCCGCAAAAATGGAGGTTATTAATCTTAACTTATAGAACAAAACCCGAGACTTACCAAATTGATCCCGCACTGATGGATCGTTTGGTGCTAACGTTACTGCTTTCTTGAACCACATCTCCGCTTCTATTGATCTACTCGTCTGTAATAAAAAATAAATAATAAGTTATATGTTCTGATTGTCTTTACGCCAGTCATAATGTAAATGTTAGAGTTATGGAATAAAAGTTTATATGCCATTTTATGTTTTATAAATATTTACTAATTTTTTTATATTTTTAGCATCTAAGAAAAGGAAAAAAGCTCTGAATGTTTGAGGTAAACATTCAGGTAATATAAAAGTTGCATGTGTTTTTTGTTCTTTTAAATTTAATCCATCATATATTTTTTGATTTTGTGACGTAAAGCCACTTACGGTTACTGAATATATATATTATTAATTTATTAACACTAGAAAGACGGAAGCAGTCATTTGACTGTAATTTGATTTTAAATTTTGAATAACTCAAAAACTATTTAACTTTATGTACTGAGACTTTATGACTTTTATTAATATTACTAGATAAATGAAACTATGTATGAAAATAACTCTCGTCTCTTTTGTTTATTGTTTAAAATCTTGATATACCGACAAAGACGGCGGCAGTCATTTGACGGTTGATATCGGATAAGTATTTATTTGTAATATGAGAAGGTAGAATACGAAATAATGTGCGCTCTGTCCATTGTTTGGAGTATGCTGGTCAAATGAGTCAGTACAGTTACGACTGCCTATCAATTTTGTCAGAATTATTGTAAGTGATTCGTGAAAAATGTCTCGAGCCCTTCAAAATGAAGAAATCCTTTCAATATTGCAAAATATTTGTGAAGATGAATCGGATTGTGGGTCTGAGAGTGAAGAGTGGGGTAGTGAGGATGATAATGTACCATTTATCAGTTCGAGTTCCTCTACGGATGAAAGTGACCTGGAAGATCAGATACCTCAAGCAACTTTACGAACCGTTGACAGGTTGAGTTCTCGTGGCCGCGGTCGCAGCCGTGCTCGTGGTCGAGGTCGTGGTAGGAGTCATAATTTGGAAGATTCTGAGCTTCAAGGTCTTATCACTTCTATCGATGGTACCTCATGGACACCTCAAATGGAATCTACTCAAAGTGGTCGCCGGGCACGCCACAATATTATAACTGAGCAAGCAGGGCCTACCTCATATGCAAAAAGAAATTTCAAGGGACATTTGTCAGACTCGTGGAGGCTTTTGATTGATGAATCTATATTGAGACATATTCAGAAGTGTACTATAGAAGAAGCTAATAGACAACTAGGACACAATAACTGGATACTAACTTTGGAACAACTGGAAAGTTTGATCGCTATATGTTATGCTCGAGGTGCATACGGTGCAAAAAATATTCAAGTAAATGAGTTGTGGAGTAAAACTTGGGGAATAAATTTTTTTTCAAAAGTTATGTCACGTGACAGATTCAAAGAAATAATGAAGTATTTGCGATTTGATCACAGATCTGAGAGAAGTTCACGACTTCAACAAGACAAATTCGCACTAATATCAGACGTTTGGAAGAAATTCATTGAGAACTGTTTATCGTGCTACAAGCCGGGAGAAAACGTTATAGTAGACGAACAACTGTTTTCTACTAAGGTTAGATGCAGGTTTCTTCAATACATTGCTAACAAGCCTGATAAGTTTGGAATTAAATTTTGGCTTTGTGTTGATGTAGATTCAAAATTTGTACTCAACGGCTTTCCTTACTTAGGAAAAGATGAAAGCAGGCCACCAAATCAAAGCCTCAGTGAATCCGTTGTAATGCGTCTCATGGAACCTTTTGCAAATACTGGTCGGAATGTAACCACTGACAACTTCTTTACATCGTTGAGCTTGGCAAATAACTTGCTCGCAAAACGCACTACAATTGTAGGAACTTTGAACAGGGCACGACGAGAGGTTCCACCTTACGTCAAATCACTTCATATGACTTTGTTTGAAACAAAAATTCTGAAATCTGATAGATGTACTCTTACGATTTATCAAGGAAAACGAAACAAGAACGTTTTATTGCTCAGCACGTTACATGACAATGTTGAAATAGATTCAAATCATCCTAAGAAAAAGCCAGAAACTGTGACTTTTTACAATGCTACCAAGTACGGCGTGGATGTGGCTGACCAGATGGCAAAAAAATATAGTGTCAAAGCAGCATCTCGAAGGTGGCCTGTACAGGTATTTTTCAATATTTTGGACCTAGCAGGGATAAATTCCTTCATTTTATATAAGAAAATGTCAGGTACCAACATAAAACGAAGGAATTTTATACTAAGTTTAGCAAGTGAACTAAGCGGCAAAGTAGAAATTGAACCGAGACCCTCAGAAACCGAACTATCGCCCAAAGATCCAACACCTTCTACTTCTCGATCTACACTTCAAAATCCGGAAAGTCGAAAAAGGCGAGAATGCTATATGCAAAAGTGCAAAAATAAAACAAATAAATTATGCGACTCTTGCAAAAAGCCACTTTGCGGCCCTTGTAACGTAAATAAAATCTTAAAATGTAAAAATTGTATGTGAATTAAATAAATAATTATATATTATACTCTGTTTCATTACTATAGTTACTAATTTTAGCAAATAAATAATAAAAAAAAATTAAATAAATTGGGGCAGTCATTTGACCGGTCGCCGTCTTTGTAGGTAGATGAATTTTCCCGTCTTTCTAGTGTTAATTGGGGAACAATAGAGGAATCATTTTGAAATTTATTAACGTTAAATTTTTAATTATGTTATATAATAACCTATTTTACCAGTAGAACTAGCCCGTAGCAAACTTTTGGCAGCCTTGCATAATATTTCAAAGTGAGTACTTCCGAGTATTTATAGCGTAAGTATGATTAATCACCAAAAAGGTTTAACATATCGTCCAATAATTTTAAACGATTAAACCTGTACAGGGAAGTAGTGGAATTAAATTGTCTATTTCACTATAGTAGTGTCATCTGCAAAATGTGGAAAACTATCCTTTTAATTCTTGTTTCATCGTCGTGTCGAGTGGCACTACTTATGATGTCACATTACAGCGTACTTCCGTTATTCATGAAGGTGTTACACGGCATGAAGTAGGTAAGGAAGGAGAAGTAGCTACACTCAACTAATTACGTTTTTGTGAGGGAAATAGTCTCTTAACCCATCAAACTTAACGTTTATTATGCAAGAAAGGGTTTTTCAAGAGTGTAGACTATTTCAAAGAGATTTCTTACTACAATATTTAGGCATTACTTTTTGTATATTTTTCTAACTAATATAAGATGTATTCCTAATGAAAAATGCTTAAAAAATTTCTGGTACTCTGAGATGGGATTCGCACCTATGATCTTTCTCAATCCGGACGACTGCTCTAACCACTGAGCTACCCAGGACCTAAAAGGACTGACGAAGTTTTCAAGCACTGGTTACTTTTTCGCTACTTAAGAGCGTAATTTCGTCAATGTTCATACACCAAAACAGCCGAAAGAAATATTTTAAACTTTCGATAAAATTGTATTTAATTTATTTAATCAATTTTTGCTTTCGTAATATAATTCTGGAAAATATTACTGATGAATAATGCTTTAAAAAAATACTTTTACTCTTACTCTGAGATGGGATTCGAATCCACGACGCTACCCAGGACCTAACGGACTGGTGGGTTTGAATCTCATATCAGAGCACCAGGGACAAAGTGGGTTTTTTAAGCATTCTTTATTATTCTCCAGTAAAGCATTGTGAATGCTAAAATTAATCAAATATAATCATATTAATATTATGAAAGTGAGTTTCTTTGTTTGGATGTTTGTCCGTCAAACTACTGAACAAATTTTGAGAAAGTTTGGTATATAGATAGGGTATTAGCTGACTTAGATAATAAGATAAGATTTTTTATCCCACGAAACATTTCCCTAGGGACCAGGCGGGCGAAGCCGCTGGTGAAACCTAGTAATATAATATCTGTTAAGTACAAACTTACCTAACAGTGTTTTGCCTTTTTAGGTTTAATTCTGGATCAGAGCATTCTTTCTAATCTTAATAATATTCTAAAAAACAACTATTATTTTTAACTCAATCGCTTTGCATTATTTTATTTTACCTAATTTTTATTCCTTTTTAATCATGTGAAGGTGATGATTATGTATCTACAAATTTTTCTTTTACTATGTGTAGCTACTGGAGATATTCCTGTTAATCCTTTTGTTAGTTATTATAAAAAAAAATAGATACCAATAGTTCAAAAATACACCGTAACATAAGTACGGTAATCATTACTTTGCCGTCACAGTTTCAACCTTATACGGCAGTTGAAGTCTGGACATGTTATGATAAAATATGTTTCCATCTAACCATCACTGGTAAAGGGATTAAGAATAGAAGGAAGATTCAATCAAAATGCCCTAAACGTTCAATACCGTCTTGTTAGATACAGAATGTCGATCAATGCAGAGTTAAATCAAACGCATTCAACCCTCAATAATGCATTGAACGTTAAGTGCGATTTTATTTAATCCGGTGACACGGGAAGCCAACGAGAGGCTGATCCTCTAACTCAAAGTCATGACCATAGTGTTATCTATGAGAATGTTTCAACGTTTTTATCAATAAATAGGGTTATATTCTTTAAAATAACACCTTTTTATCATTTTCAATCAAAGTATTTTAGTTTATTTCAATACCAGTTGTATTAATATTTTTTTATACTAACTATGTTTTCCCGCCGCTTCGTCCGCGTATATTTTCTCGTTCAAGATATTGAGTCACCTGTTGGTGTATATAATTCTAAGCATTCTGTATAGTACTTATCTAAAAATATTTATTTTTCTCGCCACATAAAAATATCTCATTAATTTATTAGAAAATATCAAAGAAATAAGAAAATAGTACGAAAACTGTTAACTGTCTGACGTCTTATAACAAAGAAGTAACTTCTTGCTTAATAAAAACATTTTTATGAAGCAATAAGAAGTTCCGTTATGAATTTTGTTATTGTCATGGAGTTATAAATAAACTACATTATTAGTGTAAGTTATAAGGGTAAATATTACATTTTTTTTGGTAGGTAGCGTGTAGTTTTATTTAATAAGATTCTATTTGTAAGCCGCTTTATTATTTAACAGTTGCACAAACGTCCATTAAGGTTTGATGACGACTTTAAGTTCTAAAGAGTGTTCAAAATTTGTATCGTTATTTATTTATTTATAATTAGTCACAGTACACAGCTCAATATAAGTTAATTATTACATTTTATAGGGTTTTTACGACCACCCAGCATATTACAAATAACTCTTTAAGGCTTTTGTAATTACTACTTTTTTATTGCTCCTTATTATTTACTGAAGGAAAATCGACACTTTAAAATAACATTCAGTAATAAAATTCATTATGTGATAATACGCACATCAAATTACATATAACATAAACACATTTATACATAATATACAAATACACACACAATATGATTATCACCGATGTAATAATCAAAAGGCTAGTTGACCACATTATTTTTTTATTTTATTAATAAATAGACCATAAAAATCTGAGAAATAATGGAGAAGCAATGTGGAGCTGTTGCTCATCGGCCGAAAACGCTCGCTACAAATTAGTGACGTCATGCTATTCTATAGTATCGAAAAACGTATGGGCGTCTGGATAATCTTTGTAATAACATTTATGTTCATTGTTGTTACAATAAGATTTGTTATATTTTATGTAACTAATTTAATGTCATATAAATTATTATCTATTTTTTTGTAATATATATTTCCACTTTTTTTAAGTATTAAAAGATCTTATCGATACAAAATGCTTTAAAGTAATAACAATTTTAATGGATCTCTACAGTGGCACCGGTTACTATGGGCGTACCTCAGGGATCGGTATTAGGACAATTGCTTTTTCTAATTTATATTAATGATCTACCTCACTTCATGAAGAATTTGTGTGAGACAGTATTATTTGCAGATGACACCTCTTTACTATTAAAAGTTGAGAGGGGTAATGATTGTTTTGACGATGTAAATAATGCTCTCGACAATGTTCTACAGTGGTTTGGTAATAATAATTTAAAGCTCAATTCAAATAAAACGAAATGCATAAAGTTTGCATTACCTAATGTGAGGCATGTCAGTACACTTATAAATGTTAATAGTGAAAAAGTTGAGTTAGTAGAATCGACAAAGTTCCTTGGTATTTCACTAGATTCTCGACTGCAATGGGATCTTCATATTGATAGCTTGTCAAGTAGACTGAGTTCTGCAGCTTTTGCTGTTAAGAAAATTAGACTCTTGACAAATGTTGAAACGGCAAGATTGGTATATTTTAGTTATTTTCATCGTGTAATGACGTATGGTATATTATGGGTTTTGCGGCTTACATTCAGGATATTTTTATTCTACAAAAGAGAAATATTTAAAGAAATAAATATTCTGACTGTTGCCTCTCAACACATCTATGAGAATAATATGTACACAAGAAAACATTACGATTCCTTCACAAAAAAAAGTAGTGTTAATAATCTTAACACAAGAAATAGAAATATACTCGCCGTTCCAAGCTTCAGACTTAAAAAAACCAGAGGATCATTCCTGGGTAAATGTATTGCTATGTTCAATAAAGTTCCACAAAATGTAATCGACCTACCCATAAATAAATTTCAAATTCATGTAAAGAATATACTTATGAGTAAAGGCTATTATAAAGTTGATGATTATTTTAAGAACTCTGTTCTGTTTCTATTACGATTAATTATAGGTATTATTACGATTAATTATAGGTATGTACCAACCTATGTCCTACAGACTTTGAAACTTGTATTTATTATTGTTTAATATATGTATTATTTTGGTAATGACATGATTTATATAAATGTCATTACTTATGATAAAAGCTGGTAAGTTTATTTCGCTTGTTCTTCTTGTCAGCTAAAAGGTGTCCTGAACAAAATAATAAAAATATTTTTGGACGATTCAAAAGTGCTTGTAACAAGCTTACTTGAATAAAACATTTTCATTTCATTTCAGATATTTACGCAACTAAGCAAACGTGTACTGATTTATGACTATACATTTAAGAAGTCAGATTTTTCATATTCTTTCACTTAATTAGAGTATAGAAAACAATGGTCAATTGAATGACTAAATATTGGGATACGTTTAATCAAGATACGAAGAATAATAAAGAATATGAATGACTATTTGGAACTATTTAATTTCCAATTTTCATTTAGGTTCGACTTAAGCAACCACATATAAGTATATAACAATGGCTAACAAATCTATGGCGAAAGACTTTGAACTACTTTGAACTGTTATTCTAACAGTAAAAGAAACTCATGAAAGCTTTCTTACTCTCTTTTATGTTTCAAACAGACTCGTCATATTGAGAAACGAACTCAGGAGTATAAAGGTGAATGTCCATATGTAAGCACTACCTCAGACATGCACGCAAGGCCGCACGACACGCAACGGTCTATATTAGAAATTCCTGTGACATCATCAGCATAACTCCGGCGTCAAAATTAAGAGTCGCATTGTCATAAAAAATGCAACTCCAGTGAACGTATGACATCGACAAATTCGTGCAATGCGTTGCAATGCGTGCGTGCGTGTGTGTCATAGGTAGTGGACGAACACATTAAAGAGAACTTCTAACAATGTTTGAACTTAATTTTATTTTAAAACTGTACTTACGTTTCTAGCTAGTATTTGCGCTAGTGTGACGTGTGTTCCCACGTGGTTCGGTGCCATTGCCAGCGCCGATAATATGCTGTGTTCAGCTTGAGGCCACTGTTGAAGCAGTACATAAATTTCCCCAGCCATCGATAGCACGTTCTGTGTGGACAAATGTGTATTTTATATTATTATACTAGTTTGTATTACGGTAAATAAAGTATAGAAAAAAATTTATTTAAAAAAATCGCCGGCTACGCAATTTGTAAAATGCGCAAAGATTATTGTAACTCATGTGGTGTCAGAAGCTATAAAAACAGCTATAAAAAGCATGTACCGTGCCTTGTGAAACTCAGTTTTACTTAACCTGGTCACAACTGGTGAATCTTGATTATAAATATTGAAACCAAGCATTAACGGTACCTACTTAACGAAACAGGCTAGTTAATTGCAAATGTAATTTTTTAGATATTAAATTATTTACGAGCGAGGGCGATAAGAGAGATCATTCTTGTATGTGATCTTTCTACAATATATAATAATAATATGTTTTATTGAAAGAATGGTAGCAATATAAACATGATACTTAGATGATATTTGTCTCGATTAATCTTAACAATGTTGTTGTTTTATCTAAACTAATACATGAAATACAAGATATATTGAATTTTAACTTTAAATTCTGATTTATTGGCCTTAAAGGACTAAAAAACTTAGGCTTATAACTTTATATTTTATAATTTTAGATTACCCTTGATATCGTATGCATAATATTCAAGGCATGCATATATTATAGTTTTATTTGCAACATTTCTTTATGTACTGGACAATGCTATGCAACGTTTGACTAATGCAATTTTTTATCTCGTCACAGTCATTCCTATATTTTCCACAAGTTGTGCCCACGACTTCGTCTGCTTAGAAATTAGCCTAAGTTACCACCTGTTACATAAGCTAATCAGTAAGTAAAAGTTCCATCAAAATCGGTCCAGGCGTTTCAGAAATTAGCCGGATCAAACAGACAAAAAAAATAGTAAAAATAATAAAAAGTCACTTCCTCTGTCCCTATGTATGCTTAAATCTTTACAACTACGCAACGGATTTTAATGTGTTTCTTTTTCATAGATAGGGTGATTCAAAAGGAGTGTTTATATGTATAATACAAGACCACGTGGGCGAAGCTGCTGACGGAAAGCTAGTATAATATATAATAACTTTGAAAACTTACATGTCTTGTCCATCCGACAATAGGTGCGTTCGTGTCCGGGAGTATTTGCAGCGCTTCTTTGTACGCTGACAGCGCTTTGTGCCAGTGCCCCCGTTGAGAATGCAACGCCGCTAGTTGCACAAGGGCAGACACTCGCGCTGATTCATGCTCGCGCCGGTCACGTACTCTTACTCCTTCTGCCCTGGAGCCGGCACGAAGCGCACTAGCCGCTTCAGCTAATCGCCCATCCGCCATAAGGGATGTGCCCAAATTGACATAGGCCACTGAAAGTTAATGTCAGTATTGTACACAAGGCTCGATGTAGACCCCAGCCTTTGTGATGGCTGTACCGCTCGAATGGAAAGAAAAAAATAAAATTTGTTACCGAAAAATCATAATATAGACTTTTTGAAAATTAAATGAATAAAGTAGCACTGAAATGACTTAAATAGTAGAAACAATAAAGTTATTTAGTGTAAAGGGTTGCTCATTAAGAATGGATTACTCAACTCCTAATGGGGTTGAAAGTTTGTATGGAAGTTCGTCATTTTGGAAGTAATAAACATAAAAAAATTGTTTTGGGCTTCTCATTACAAATATGAAAAAATTGTTTCATTATTTGTGGAAATTCTAATCCAAAGGAGGTGAAATACGGGTTGAAAGTTTTTATGGAAGTAAATAATGATAGTCTTCGCGTGCGAAGCCGCTCTGGTGTAAAATCTCATATAATTATAACCAAAAAAATATAAATATAAACTTATTTATAATTAATTATAACAATCGTAATACTTACAAGCCATAGAAGGTCTGAAATAAATTGCTCTCTCGAAACTTTTGATAGCTTCTCCGTATCTCCTTTGGTTCTGAAGTAAAATCCCTCTGTAACAATGAAATAGAAAACTTTGAATTTCGACCGAACTGTGGTAAATTAAACTCTAATAGAAGATATCTTCAGAAATACCTATACAAGAATATAGAATCTTATTTTAGAAACCTTTAAGATGCGTATTTAAATTGGAAACGAGAATTGGCTAAAGTAATCAAAGAGACGGAGACGAGATACCAGAACAACTTAGATTTTTATCTTAAATACGATACAATAAATTCTGTCATTTTTCCATCCCTTCAACCACTTCAATAAAGGAGATTGTGAATTTGTTTTTTTAGTGTTCCGTACCCAAAGTGTAAAACGGGAATCCTATTACTAAGATTTAGCTATCTGTCTGTCACCAGGCTGTATCTCATGAACCATGAAAGTTAGATAATTGATATTTTCACAGATGATGTGTTTCTGTTGTCGCTTCGATAACAAATTTAATAAATCAGAATAAAATAAATATTTAAAAGGGCTCCCATTCAACAAACGTGATATTTTTTACTTGTTTTTGCTCCAACAGCTGCCTGTTGGAGCAAAAACAAGTAAAAAATATAAACGTCTGCACGTTTGAAATATTTACAAAATATGTATTTATATAGTAACTTAAAAAAATAATTAATTAAATAAAAATTATACAAATATTTAAAGGTGGTTCTCATATAACAAATGTGATTTTTTGCTCGTGTCCGATACCGAACCATTCGAGCGCAAGTCCGATTCGCACTTTTCCGATTTTTATGTAATTAATGTAATTGCGTTGGAACAGTGCAATGATATTATAATAACATGTTAGCCATATATGTTATCCTACATGGGCTTTAAAGACATGTACTTAGAGAACACTTTCATTTAAAAGAATCAGCAATTTTAAAAGTGTTTAAAATTGCTGACTTTTTTGCACCTCACATCACATCACCAGCCCTTTTACGTTCCAGTTGCAGGGGCTCAGGCCATCCTTATGGATGGTTAAGGAGGATGGGCTATGACCCTCCACGCTGGCCTATAAAATTATAATTGAACTAAACGGACTCCAAAAAATCTCAGTAAAAGTAAATATTTAACAAATTTGAAACCCTTCTCTAATTTCACACGAGGTTTCGTGAATTATTTTTTACTTTAATTAAGGTTTTGAAGTTTTTTTAATATTTTTTAATACCATTGAAAGAGTTATGATGAGTAAACATGGTGGAATTAAATAAAAAAAATAAAAAAAAATCATTAATACAGTGTGCAGTTCATGCACAGTCTGCTTTTTATCTATTTTCCTTAAAAAATCCTAGCCTGGAAGGAATTGCTGACAAATGATTTGCCTATTATTCAATAATTGTGATTTACGTAAGTATGTAAATGTACATTACTTAATAAAGAAAATACTCAAAAAAGTTAACTAAACTCAGGTATCCTACATGAGTATCCCTTTAGGACTATTGGGGCTGTTAAATTTTCAAGTGTTTTTAGTTAGATAAATGCAAATATACCTAACCGTGTTAATTCAAAATTTATCATATATGTAATAAATTGAGCAATAAAGACCTATTCGAGCTTAACGTCGAGTGCAAAATTTATCAAGTATGATAAATTAATTACACTTTACCACGCACGCTAAAAATAAGTTTCAAATTATGCATTCCATTATTAGAATAGGACAAACTTTAATATTAGAGTGGATAATTTAAAAATGATACAGTCATATTTTAATTTACGACCAAATGGATTCTAAGAAGTTACCTTGTTTTAAAGAATTTCGAAACCGAAAAAAACAACGATAAGTCTAAAGTGATATATGCACATTATATAAGACCCGATAATTATACATTGAAGTGGATTTTCATGCCAACAAAATAGGTTTTATTTTTCTTTTTGGAAAAGCTCCAACTCCGATTTCTGGCTGTGGCGAATAATTTTTTAGTGTACAAAAATACACGCAAATATTTCAATTGCAAAAGACACAGAAGCTTAAAGTGTACGAAGTATTATTTGACACAGAAATAGAAACTAGATTCGATCATGAAATCTAGTACTGACATTTTCTGATAGTTTTTAAACTAGTTGAATAACTCTATCTAGGTTTGCGCTGAAAGAATCTTCAACAACAAAAGAAAATAAGTCACGTATTTTATTTTCGCTATAAAGATTTCCAAGAGCGGAATTCAAATACCATTTTCGAAAATCGGATTATAAAAAAATATTTATAGTCTGTGATTACGTAGTATTAGAGTCGGTTGGGTAGAGTTCCGACGATTCTGGATGACATAATTTACGATTTTTAGAATTACAGTCAGCTAGAATAGAAACTTTTGCATTTTTATTAAGTCTGTATTAGTAGCTCCTGTTATAACGTTCCTAATTCAATTTATATTCTGAGATAAAAATGCTAACTAGGACTATCTCTTATTTATATTTCAGAAATATATTGTTTAATATCAACTGAATCACGGTTATTGCAGTTGTCTTTGTTTTGCGTCACGTATGTGGTTAAAATATTTTTTGTTTTGAGATTCTGTACCCAATGTGTCTTTCTTTTATACGCTTATTATTACAGTCCGCACCGTTTATTTGATCTTTAGAGGATTGTTGCTAAAGGCAACCTTTTTTATAGATTTACTTTTTATATCTTTTATTTGGATTGTCTATGGACAGGTTTTGCACTTGTTTCTTTGTTAAAAGTAATGTATGCGTAGCGTAAAATAAATATTTTTTGAGATTTTTACAGTCCGCAATGTTAAAATCTTTATGATAAAGGGATAAAGAAATCACATAGCAAGTATTTAGATTTAATTGCACAGAATACAACTAATTCCGTTTTAATTGAAGACCAATAATTATGGGTAAAATTACAAATTTTGAATTAATCGTAGTGGTAATGGTCAAAAAAATTAACAAGCCATATTATTATTATAGCGCTTTTCTACGTCTTTTTTACCGGCACCACCAAGGAGTGGAACTCCCTGCGGTCGTTTATATTCCCGAGTGCATATAACCCAGACCTATTAATAGGCAAGAGTGAATAGTTTCCTTCTGGGCAAGCTCGTCCCACCGTAGATCTCATCTATGTCTTTAGGCTAGATTGAGGTCAAGAGTGAGCCCATTTTAAATAAATAAAATGTAATACTATGAACATCAAAGTATTCATGATAGGTACTGTAACGTCCGTGCACATTACTATAGGTAGGTTTACTCTTCGGACGGTGTATGGTCAATGCTGGCCGTTAATATTTTAAATTATTACTTTTTCCGTATTCGAATTCACGTGTTTTTGTTTTGCTGGTTGACACTCTTTCTTTCTGATCGAAACCGGCATAAAGTGAGTATCATAGTATTTCGTTGTAAGTGAATTTATGTTATACCAACTGCAAATAAAATCGAGACTGAGGAATCCTACCAGTTTTTCCTTGCGCCACCCATCTCCACCATTAGAATTAAGTTATTAGAGTACCTATATATTTGATATTAAAAAATAATACACTACTTAGTTTGTACGACTGATACGGTTGTTAGACAACTTTCCACCGAGCAGATCATAGGATGAGCGACCAAAATTTTATTATTTAGCTCTAGCCTGTGTCAGTAGGCAAGTTAAAGCGATAGTCACAGCTCTATCTGCAGTCATTAACACCCATCAATCCGCACTGGGCGCGCGTCACGTCATGATTCGATGCCACCCATAGGAGAGGTCCGAGTCCCAGCAGTGGGGACGTTAATAAGTTGTTGATGATGATAATGAAGTAATATATTTATGTTTTTTCTTCAACTCTCATACATACCTTCAACAAAATCCCTATAATACTATGAATTCAAAAATAGTGTAAATAATTGAAATTAGTGACCTAATACGTCTCTTAATTCAATAGGCTGCAGACTATAACTTTTATTAACTTTCAATATTTAAATTATACTCTCCATTATTAAGTTTAATAAACTTTTTAAGTTTCTGCTCATAGACAAACTTTATATTCTACAGTGTATGTGCGCCTTTATGAAATTTAGAGCACAGACTGCGTAGTCTGTAGTAAAACATAGATTACTTAGTCTGTGATAAAGCATAGACACATACGTCTATGATGATAAAATATCTACGATTAAGAGAAAAGATGGCGATTAGGGTATTCTAGTGACGATTTCTGGATAACCTTACAACAGATAAACATTATCCAAAAGCAATATTTTCTAAAATATACTAGTAAATAAACTCCCTTAGGAATCAAATTCGGGTCTGCAGTGTTCCTTAGTAATGACACAAACGTCTGATTTTAGCGACTAATGAATCCTTAGTAATATTTTGTGACAAATATTTTCCTTATTACTGTAGGGAAAAAAGGTCAGCTGTCAAATGTTTCTTAAAGAGCTATAAAAAGATTCATTTTAGTTCCATATAATATCGCACTTAAATAATTGTAAGTAGGATATTAATTAGGTCGCCAAACACATACATATCATTATAACTAATTAAGACTTTTATTAGGAAATGCTCAAGTTAGTTCGCAGAATTAATGCGGATAGTCAAAATGAATAATAAGAACAAAGTTGAGGAAAGTAACTAATTATAGAATAATCTTTAATACAGAATACTGTATTAAAGATTATTCTTTCCTAATTGCTCGTAATAGGAAAAAAATGTAAAATTAATAATAAGTCTAGTAAATCCGAGATCCGCTTGCGGATTAGCTTGACTTATTTCAAAGTATGAAATATAAATAAATTTTTCAAAGTTCATTATTTTTTCTATAAATAATAATTTATAAAGGGCTTCCAATATTATATATTTGGTTACTTTCCTTTAGTAATAGAGATGATGAATAGTATTTTCTTTGTGTGTCCGTCAGGTAGATTAATTATTTTTTGCGTTACTTGAAATGTCATATGTTGTGTGACACTTTTTTACATTTTCTACATAGTTATGATGTAGCGAGCTCCCACTCCTTAATTTAAATGCCTATTCTTTTGAAATTGAAGCAAAAAAAAAAGTTTTTTTTATTGTCTTACCCGTGCAGCATCCAGCAAATAACACAAAACTTTGTCACACCGTTAAAGCATAGCAAATTATATATGACGTGGCACATTGCTGCCAAAGTCAGCATTATTTATACATATTTATGAGGCACTAAAATTCGTCGACGTGAAGGCGTTTTGTTTAAAATCCTTTACCTAATTTCTTCTTAAAAGACTTAATGTTGTTCGAATTATCAAAACTCTGTGTAATTTTCCTTATTTGTAGACTGAAGCATCGACTCTAGCTCAAATCGTTTGAACAGTTTGGAAGTAAAATATAGTTGGGTTTCTTAGCTATAATCTTTATATATAAATCCTAACCGTTACTATTCATATAATGCATAGCCTATACTAGCTTTTTGTACGGTACTGTATTATACATAGCAACGTTCCTCGTGAATGCCCTGTATATTGATTAAAACTAATTTAAAATCCGTTGTGTGGTTTAAAAAATCTCAGAGTACAGACAGCGGAAAGCGACTTTTTTATACTATGTATAGTTTAGTGTATCTAGCCACTGTCCACCAAGACAAATCAAACATAAAAAAGGGTAGGGGCACTATCTATTTTTTCTCGAAGCGCTTCATCGGATTTTTTCACCCTCATAACTTATGTTCAGATTACACTATTTACATAAAATTTTCGAAATGCAATCCCAGTAATGAACTTTTTAAACATACAAAGTTTCAATTGTATAGCTAATATAATTCTGATTTTATTGATATTGAATTAACCCCGATTTTGGTACGTATACACTGATGATCATCAAAACCTATAGGGT